TGCCACACCTGCCAAGAACACGCTATTCGCTCAGAATACGAACAAGCATGCCTTATTTGCAGCGGTTAACGTGGCTTTAGAGTTTAAATTAGATCCCAGCTCGACCTTATCAACCAACTTCAAACCCACAGATAAGACGTTGATAATTCCTTTTTATTTAATTGGTAATGATACGTGTCAACAGCAGCTAGTGTGGCGTTCACAAGACTATCAAACCTTAAACCCAAAAGGTTTTGTTGTATGCATGTTCGTGGAACTTCTTTCACACCATATGTAGCCACCCGTGCTCATCAGGTGCCAAACACGACAAGACAGTTCAAGTAATTTGCTTTGTTTAAACAAATACAACGTTCTGAGCAAGAAAATAAGTCATGAGTCACCACGCAGCACGACAGCTCCACACAAGTGTAATAAAAGGACTCAGACACTTCTTGCTGACTCCGTGTCCTTTATTTGGGGTTCGCGTTCTCCTTCCCACACGGCACTCCTCCTGAGACTCTCTCCCTGGCAGCCCCACATCTGCCTTCGCTCCCGTAGCCTTCCACGCTCCTGCAGCTCCGCTGCAGGCTCTTGGTACAGCCCTCTGGCTGCTCCCCCAGCAGCTCCATCTCTGCTCCCTGTTCCTCCGTGCGTGGCGATCTCGCCACCTCCCAATGTCAGCCCTTCGTGGCCTCTATGGCTATCTCGCCATTTCCTACCTCAATCCTCCACTCTCTCTTCCACCCCGCTGGCTGGCGCCGTCATGAGCCCCTCAGCCACCAGGCTGAGGCACGGCGACCACCCAACGTGTTCACCACCCTTCACTCCCCCGACTGACCCAGATAGCTTCCTGTCTCCCCGCTATAACTTCTCCCCCACGTCACCCTGACTCCTCCCTCTCGGATCGTCATATCCGCCCCGCCCATTTACGCCCGCATTACACTACCCTCCCCCGTAGAGAAAATCCCAGCCGTCCTCGGCTGAAACAGAACAAAATAATGCGGGCGAAGGCATCACAATCAGGAGTCCCCCAGACACAACGGAGATTATAACAACAACAACACAAGCAACGAAAGGGGAGGTATCAGGAACTGGAACAGAACACCGGCCTGTCCTCCGCACAACAACAACAAGAATAAGAATGGCACAATGAACAAAAACGGCAACTGACACGCAAGAACGGCCAACGCGCACAACCCAGAAATGTGATGTTTTAGTGCGTGTCCATGTTGCAGTTCCATCCGCTCGGCTCAAGTCCAACGTCAAAGAGCAAGTGGTAGAGCAGAACGACGAACGGTGCTCAATTGCTCCTTCAAGTCCTCATCCAGCTAGCACACCAGGTAACACCCAGTGCGACGGGAGCTGAAGAATCTGTGACGAGAAGGAGAATCCAATCCCCTGAGGCACAGCACAACAACGCACATCCGCATGTCGTACACGACAGCCACCCGGCCTCAGGGTAGTGGAGATGATGTAAATCCAGCCCGCTTAAAAAAAACTCCCCATAAATACCCAAAATAACGCAATGGATGCCCCAGTATTTACATTTTAACAACAATATTATTTACACGTGACAACAACAACAACAAAATTTTCTGCTCTTACCCACCAGCAGTCCTCCCTTGAGGACCAGCACAGACATCGCACGTACACAGCATGTACCCACGGTCACTCTCAGCAACCCAACAAAACGCCTAATCGCACACCCTCGCGTGGAGAGAGCCACGCTCCCCAGCGGTAATGTTTAACTCGCCCTAACCCCCACCGTGGTCGTCAACCCACAGCAACATCCACTGACCATACTCTCAGCTAGTGCAATTTCGGGGATGAGCAGCAACTCGGCCACGCTCCTCCCTTACTATCCCATCAGAGATGGACACACACCAGCCTCGTATAGTCCGATGCTTTATAGCCCAGGGAAGGTTCATCCCCCAGCAATGCCAGACCCCCTGTACTCCCCCCACGGGGCAATGTTCTCTTATAGAGACAATAACACCCTAACCCAGATCCCGTGAGCCCCCGGCACACCAGGTTCAGTCTGCCACCGCACAACTGAACCATGACTCCCCGAGCCATATGAGCACATGGCCCATTAGTTTAAGACATACCACGGAGGTTTCGCCTCCGGGCTGTCAGGTCAGCCATCAGCCATAGCCCGATGTGACCACAACTCGTGCATCACCCAATCAACAATGGCAGGCATAACAGATGGAATATTTGCCCCACCCCGGTTTTTCCCGCGCGCTCAAAATGGCATCCCCCTTCGCCCAGCGCGTTCGCGCAATCTCTCCCGCGCACTCAAAATGGCGGCCCTTTCCGCAAAGCGCATCGTCACCATACCCCGCGTGCGCGCAAAATGGCGGCCCAACGTGCGAACACGTGGCCAGTTTTCTCCATTCGTGCACCCCAGCTTCCCTTAACTGGGGGTCACAAGACGCATCCCCCGTCACGTTATAACAACCCCACCAACGATAGACGCACAGCCCCAGCTTGCTGCGCACAGCTGTCATATCGTGGAATTTTTAACCAATATTTTACCAACCACATTGGTTACACAACCCAACTCGCAAAGCAACTCGTGGCTGCATGCGATCAACCGAATACGCGACGCCACTTGGCGCCAATTTACGGTCCCATTAGCATTAACCTTTGAGACACCCACAACGGCGTCATCGCGCACCCTCATTTTCAAAAAGCTCAATTACCCCTATAATATACACGCAATCTCGTGTGCACAACACCCATACAACCAAATTTTTGGGTCCCCCTCTATAATATACACGCAATCTCGTGTGCACAACACCCATACAACCAAATTTTATGGTCCCCCTCTATAATATACACGCAATCTCGTGTGCACAACAACCATACAACCAAATTTTTGGGTCCCCCTCGAATTTGTTACCAATTTCCAACAGGTACGCACAATATAATAACAATCCCAATTCCAATAATCAACCACTGCATCGCACCCCATAACCATACAGAACAGTATAACAGCACATACAATCAGCATATTGCGATCACACGCGTACATTTAAACACAATAGCAAGCAGATCTGCAGGCAACCAACACACCATTAATCCTGTCGTAACTTTGCAGCAACAACACAATTATTCTCTCTCTTGCAACAATCGCATCGCACACAGCACCTCGCAGCACAATACACCAAAAAAAAATATTTTTTTTTTTTTCCCAATTAAGCCCATCGCACAAGGTAACCCACAATATACAGCGCAAGATACCCGACGCTCCCAAGTTAATAATTAACTTCACCATCAAGATAACAACTCCACGCAGCAGCCCACACACACAATTTGACACTCAGCAACTACAGCAGACTCTCCGTCCATTCTCAACACACGCACACACTTATATTGACACCAAGCAACAAGCAGATAGCGCGTTCATCGTTATTACACACACATACACACAGTCCGAACCGCGCTCCGCACAATCGAGTCATAAGAGAAACCCAAAATAGCCCCCCGGCCCTCGAAAGATGAGTGAGGTGTGTGTTAAGGCCGGGTGCGTATCGTTATGACTCGCCCGGGGCTGCAGCAAGAAGAGGACGGCAGGGTGGCAACTTGAGACGCCTCGCAGAACTCGTTCGGCGACTTGACGGCTCCGTTGTCACGCACCCGAGCCAGGACGGGAAGCTCCCGCCCCAGCAGCTGCAGCATCGGCGTCTTCTCCTCGCAGCACCCCCTCGAAAAACAGCAGCTCACAGCAGGCTGCTCACCCCGTGGCACCTCCAGATGGCAGCGCAAGGCTGCCTCTCCGCCGCGATGTTGAAGATGGCGGCGTCCTCCCGCCGCGGTGAAGACAAGATGGCGGCTTCCCGCCGTTTCTCCCCTGCCACGCCCAAGATGGCGTCTTCGTGCCACGTGGCAATGGCGCTGGCAGCGCAGGAAAGGCAGAGGCCTGCGGATCACCACCGGGCCTCCCCGACGTCGTCCTCGGCGTGGTGAACTCACACAGTCGCGCCAGCACGATTTTCAAGGTCCCCATCTGCATCACCATCTGTCTCCATCGTAAGTTGGCATCCTCCGGCACAGACAGGTCCACCGACGCGGCGACACCTTGCTCACCCGGACCCGTACTCGTTCCAGAACGGATCTCCTCTTCCATCGCAGGCAGGTCCACTGTCTGAGGAAGGTCGTCGTCGTCGGATGATGTAGCAGGAATATTTTTTTTTTCTTCTTTCTCTCAGTTGTTTTGAGATGCCGTTTCACTTCTGACTCCAGTGTAATAAAAGGACTCAGACACTTCTTGCTGACTCCGTGTCCTTTATTTGGGGTTCGCGTTCTCCTTCCCACACGGCACTCCTCCTGAGACTCTCTCCCTGGCAGCCCCACATCTGCCTTCGCTCCCGTAGCCTTCCACGCTCCTGCAGCTCCGCTGCAGGCTCTTGGTACAGCCCTCTGGCTGCTCCCCCAGCAGCTCCATCTCTGCTCCCTGTTCCTCCGTGCGTGGCGATCTCGCCACCTCCCAATGTCAGCCCTTCGTGGCCTCTATGGCTATCTCGCCATTTCCTACCTCAATCCTCCACTCTCTCTTCCACCCCGCTGGCTGGCGCCGTCATGAGCCCCTCAGCCACCAGGCTGAGGCACGGCGACCACCCAACGTGTTCACCACCCTTCACTCCCCCGACTGACCCAGATAGCTTCCTGTCTCCCCGCTATAACTTCTCCCCCACGTCACCCTGACTCCTCCCTCTCGGATCGTCATATCCGCCCCGCCCATTTACGCCCGCATTACACAAGGAAAGTCCACACTTAAAACGACTCGCACGGCACCTCCCGTAATTGGAGTGGGTGTGTGAAACGCTAAATAAATATATTCGTCATCGTCTCCGTACCGACAAGGATAAAAAAGGAACAAGTGACGTTCACAGGAACACAAAACGAACGTGTCAACTTAGATGAATAGTTAAAAGCACTTAAAGCAAGTGTGGGGGGCAGGGTTTGGTGGAAAATTACTCGGAGAATCGCCAGGCGCGGCGGTTGCAGTCACTGACCTTGAGGGGTCAACGCCGTTGGCGAGAGACTCCCGAATGCTCCCGGCTGAAATGGAACAAATTAGCGTCAACATCTTCACACTGGGTTTTATTCCCCAGGACTGCTGCATGATCGTTATTCATTCTTTATTGTAAAATGTCTCCGCGGTTTGTTAGTTTTATGATTTTTACAATGTGCGCCTTTATACATTTAGTGCTTTCTGATAGACTTTGCTTGTTAGATATAAAGAGCGCGGCTGAACAAAGAGAAGACGACAACGTTTTTCTTTTCAAACAAAGTGCCGATCTGCAAATTAAACACGGAGATAAGCTGAAGGTGCACTTTGTATATTTTGAAGAGGATGAGACAATGTGGAAATATGCAGTGCATGTATGGTGAGGAGATGGCAGTGCTGAGTGTTCAACCCTCGTGGTGAGGAGATGGCAGTGCTGAGTGTTCAACCCTCGTGTGTGTGTGGGTTTCTACGGGAGCTCTGGTGTACTCCCACACGCCAAACACCGATTAAATAGATTTGGCAAAAATATCGCAAGACAAAAGCCCCCTGGAAAAAGAGTATTGAGACTCGGTGAGGCTTTCCTGGATAAATAAAGGGCATTTACCATCATAAGCCAATGACGAAATCATCTTGAATGCACCCATAACCAAATCTTGGAAGCTAAGCAGGTCTGAGCCTGGAAGGTGCTCGGATGCATGACCACCGTCCACAAGCAGGTTGTTATCGGGATCCAGGGCTATGTGGTGGTGTGCCAGAGGACAGTGCAGCAAAACACACTCGAGTTCACTCTATTGAAATGCTACCACATATATGCTCCTCCTCAGCTTCAACCCACGCTGACCGGCATGGTGAGTTATGGTAAAATTACCCCCAGAACTCACACGATATGGACAGCCCCTCATCCAGCAGTGGATTTACAAATTGACTGTCCATGTATATGCGTATGCTACTTCCATAATAGAGACGCATGCTACATATTATATGTTCGTTTACAACAAACCAGAAGAGGCTACACTCACAAAGCCAGTTACAAATTATGTAAGCAAATGATGAAAGTCTCTTTGAAAAAGGGATGGAACGGAAAACTGGCAGCAGTAAATCCAGATGCATGGGTCCCAGTCGTCGGGGATGGGAAGGAGGAAGCGAAAGTGCCATCCCATGCCACGGTAAATTACACGAGACAGGAACATACACGGTGCACAGAGCGCACACACACACACACATATCCAGTGATAGAAATGAACTGGTATTAACGAATGCATAGGTACTCAGTAGATGCTCTGCAATTGGCATTAGGCTGCCAGTGGGGTGGGGGAGGCAGTGATTGCTACTTGTAATTCCAATTTAGTTATCTGCAGGTAAAAATGTTCTTAATTCTGCAAATTTGGACACAATGACCTATTTTGTACACCCACTTTATGGATACGATGGCACATTTTACGATACACTCGCAGTAATAACCAGGGTGGCCTGTCGGATTAGAATAGGGGACCTTCTGCAACAAGCTGTGAACGCGCTACTGGGCCACGTCACCGCCCATGATGATGGTGCGGTCGACAGGCCACACACAGGGTTGTGCAAACAACGCGATGCAGCTCAACTCAAATGCCAAACCATTCCCCCTACCACATCACTTAAGAGATGATTCGCTAGTCCGCTTCATCAAAAAGATGCGTGGCCCACAATGGATTTGGAGGAGGGAAGTGAAGCCAGAGGCGACAGGCGATTGGCTGTGACAGACGGGACGACACCGAGTGTGTTTTCGCGCATTCGCGAGTGGTAACGCACGCGGACGGCAATTAGCCAGCAGAAGCAGATGGCCCTTTTCATTCAATTGAACAATACTCCTGGTACCTTTCTGCGTAAACAAGGTTAACTAATACTTTCCGCACAATAAGAACATTCATTAAAAGGCTTTATTTTTAGAATTGCGAGTGCCGCAAGAACAAATTCTCGTGATTTATGCAACGTGTAATAAAGTTCCTTTGATTTGAAAACTGCCTTCGATTTTTTTCTTTAAAATAACAGCAGGATATCAATCATCGCAGTGATTTGTCACCATCAAACATGAATATTGGATTCATGTAACAAATCAAATAAAAGTGTTTGCGGAATGGAAACAAATAATGAAAGTGACTTGTTTTTTTTATTTCGCAAAGAGGGAATCGTGATCCATGTGGACATGATCCACGTGGACAGATGCTGAGACAAGCGGCAAAGTGACCGAGTTCCACCAGCGCGGTGACATTAGCTGCCACCAGGCGCCAGGACCGTTCGTCAAATTCAGTAATTTGTCAACAACAGATGACATCACGGAAAGACGATTGTTTGTATACCGCAGTCTTTGCTCTGCTTCACGACATTCGGTAGTGCATTTATAGTTCATTATTACTGCAATCAATACCACATTGACGATACGAGCTCAGCCACAGACCGTACGAGGGCCTGTGCCCACGAATGGCCACCATCACTGGTCTGTCTATGGTGGCCCGATAGACACGAAATGATTGAATCCTCATCACGTTAATAAATGATCGGTTTGCCTCCTTTTCCCTGCAAAGCTCGAGCAGTACTAACGTGATTGTTACATAGTCAAAACTAGTCAGAGGTGATGGGCCAAGCAGTGGCACGGTGGTTTGCGCACCGTGCTATGAACCCAGCAGCCACGGCTACTAATCAGTGGTGTGTCATATCGGAACCAGCCCTTGACACTTCAACTCGATTCCAGCCTTGCACTGAGCAGCAGTGGTCAGCCGTGCATTTATTGAAACAGTGATTGGGTACCAGGGATGCACTAGCAGGGGGGTTGAGCCTTGTTTGTCCTTACAAGAATAAACCTTCCCACAATGCATTGTGCCAGCAACATGAGTTTTTTAAAATGTAAATGCACTTGTTAAATAATACTTTTGACTATTAAAGGGTATATCTAATACTAAATAATATTTTAAAAATTAACTTCCCATCAGCCTCCATGGTGTTAAGTTAGTCTCAACTCTATCTCTCTAGCCTCTCTGTTTATGTACTTTCATGAAAGGCCATTTCTCAAAACGTTGCCGATTGTATGTATTCATGTTTTCACTTAAGGCAGTGTTTTTGACAAGGGACATACGTTTTTTGTTAATTGTGCTAGTGCACCACTGCCAACGCAGCTTTAAGATGTTCTCTGTTCATATTTTGTTTGTTGTGGTTGCACCCGACTCAAGAGCCGCATGGCTCACAGGGCTCTACCTAATAAATGAAACTTGAATAAACTTGAACCAAATAATTAGTGCAGGTTAAGTGCAGTCAAACAACCACCACGAACCGATACTGTGTGGGAACCCTTCATCCTGTAATGGATTTAAAAAGTGTCTGTAAGTTAGTTGGAGGTGACCTCCAATCACATGATCATGTTTGTTTTTTGAGCAGCATGAGGGGTCTCTGCTGGATGCTAAACACGACTAAATTGTAAACTTCCTGAGCAGATGTCACTGACCATGCATTACTAAACCTCCAACAGCGAGCCGAGGGAGGCTCGAATTGGCTCTAGCGGAGCAGCAACGCGGTCTAGCGGGTGACCTAATGACCGGCGGTGCTGTTCAAGAAGACACCAATTCCCAGAAACTGCAGCAACAGTGAAGGCGCAGTTAATCTCACATTAGTTTTTCCGTAATGGCATGTCGGCTGCGTTCGAATCGTTATGAATTAACTGTGGCACACGGCTGCGTTCATTCCCATCCGGCCAATGCCAGTCAATAACCACCGGCGAGTCCTGAAGCAACGCCAACACCTGTGGCAGCTCCCAGCAGCCAGCGGCTCCTCGAGTTTCGCGATCATCGTTCTGCTAAACACCAGTGAGCAGCTCACGCGAACGAGAGTTCAGGATCAACGTTGCCGGAAGTGCCGATAAAGGTTATCAATAAATGTTATGACTTGGGGTGCACGCTGGTCAGTCGTCAGACAAGCCGGGAGAGAAGTTCGCAGGACTGTGTGCTTGTCACGCTGGGAATGCCTGACATTGTGACACCGAGCCGTGACCCAGAAATATCACCGAGGTCCGCGATGCAGCGGGGGTACATCAGTCGCGTAGACGTCGAGTGTGCAGGCAGTGAAAGTGCACAGGGGGCCCTTGGGCCAGAGGGGCCTCTCCAGCTGATACAATTAAATTCTATTCCTTGCACTACCAGGACCCCTGCCACCGTTGAACAATTTGACGTAATTATCTTTTCACTAAAGCATTGCCGTGGTGGGCAGGATACAGCAGACCCCTTTAGCATGCACATATTTGAGCCCCTTTAAAGTTACCTCGAGTGATTGGAAGATGTTAATCTCCAGAGTCCAAAGTTTAACCATTTTTCGCGGCACTACCCAAATGGTTACAGCTATTTTACTGCAGGCAGTAAACCGGATAAAGAAAAAGTCATGATGAGTACAGACAGTGCTCGAACTTCTAACACCAGGAACTTCCAACACCAGGACCTGGTGTGGTGTGTAAACATTGCCACTAGGGAGACAAAGGCGCTGGCCACTCATCCCCTCGTGTGCCATGCCGGCATTCATATACACTGCTCGCTATCAGCCCTTGCCCCACCAGCTTGTTGAGGCTATATGGGAGATCCTCATAGTTAGGGTGTGTGTGTATCTGTCTTTGTGTATGTATCTGTCTTTGTGTGGGGAGCGGTAGTGTAGCGGTTAGCGTGCTGCGCTACGAACCTGGCGATCCGAGTTCGATTCCCACTCACGGCCAACACCAGTGACGATAATCTGAACCGGTCCTGGGCCTCCCCTAGGTCGACTCAGCCTCAAATGAGTACCTGGTGCAATGTGTAGACATCTCCACTAGGGAGACAAAGGCGGCCGGGCGTGGTGTTGGTCACCCACCCCCTCGTGTGCCTTGCCACCGTTATAGGTGCTCGCTAACAGCACTTGCCCCTACAGTCGATTAAGGCTATACGGGGGATCTTTGTCTTTTTTGTGTATGTGCTCCCATGTGTTTGTGTGTGTCTGTGTGCACGCGCGCGTGCCCCGTGTGTGTGTGCGCGCAATTGTGACGACTCCTTGCCCCCCCTTCCGACGACAAACTAGCATCAGGACTCAAGGTAAGTGAAAATAAATCAGGTTTTTTTCTATGTATGTTACTTTATTTCATGTTTTATTTACTGTACAGTATTGTATATGGTGTTACATGCAATTTCATAACACTGACCACATGGGGATTTAAAAACAGTGCATTATCGTGTTCAGACTTACGAACCGTTGAACTTAAAAACGGGTCTCAGGAACAAATAATGCTCATAACCCGAGGGCTGTCAGTATGCTCTCCGTGCTCAGGCTTAAAGGCAAATCTACAAACCACATTCCAGTAAACCGGTTGAACTTAAGAGATTATATGAAAGCTATTTTGATATTTGCTGCACTCAAAAATACAAGTGCTAACTGCACAGGAAGCAAATATGGCTGTGAAACATTTCAAAGTTATACAAGCTCATTAATGGGATGGAGATCCAAGGCCTACCTTCAGCCCCAAGTGAAAGGTCATCTTCTGATCCTATTGATCCTGAAAACAATGTTGAATAAAGAAAATCAACTCCAGCAACAAAACAATTTCAATTGGGCGGGGGGGGGGGGGGGGATAAAACACGATTTGACACTTTGTACATGAAAAGCAAAAAACTGAGTGAATTCAGTTTGAATCAATGTCCTGTATTGTAACTGGCACAACATAAAACACAATGAAGCAGAAGCACAGCAACATCGCTCACCTCTGTTGCACAAGTTACTCGTCTCTGCTGCGCTGCTCTCATCACAATTCCTTGAATAGAGGAAGGGATATCCAGGGTTTGGCCTCTCATTAAACACATCACGACTCATCTTTATAGAGCAGTGTAATTTTACATTGCGGTGCAGCACTGCTGCTAGGAACCCGGCAACCCAAGCTCATCGTAGTTCCACGAGCCCAGCAGAGCCAATGTTTGTAGGTGAGCTTATATAATTACGTGATAAATGAGTGAGTTTTCAACTCTTCTTAGGTAATATGAATAAATCGGTATGACTCAAGTTGTGATATTTTAGGTAGTGCCAATCTCTCCTCTGACCCATGGACTATCAGTGCTGGGATGGAACTGCCTCATGCACCAATTCCTCAAACTCTGTCGTGGCCCCTGACGCAATGTTCTGGCAAGAGGCAGTATCGGTGTGGTAATGCAAGTGTAATGTGTACATTCAAGAACACACGACTTACGCACTGTCATCCAGCCACTCGTGCACGCTCGTGTGGATGCTGTAGCCTCCTGCAACACAGACCAAACATGTTTGTAGTCACGTGAAGCAGCACCTATGCCATCGCTGTATTGCACTGCATGAGCCATCGAAGACAATCCTTTAAAGCCTTTAAAAATGGCTCATACGACCAAATGCACCGCCACGCATACCAGCAACCCGTTTTGTTTAGTACGCCTACGCCACCATGAACCGACAGGGGAGGTAACGTCGACAACAAACCACTCAGTTTATAAGTTCTCAATGTGCACAAATATTGGCCGATTTTCCACAGCACACAACCTGATCGGGCACAAATTAAATGTAAATTATGGACGGCATAATTCTTGGCTTTTTAAACGCCATGATTAGAACGCTGGCACTGGTCGTTAACAACCACAAACCACCCCATGTAAGCACGCTGGAATTAAGAGTGGCTCACGGTTAATAAACACATGGCCATTGATGCCATATCAGAGCCAGCGGCAGACGCCGCATCTCACCAAGGCCTCGCGAGTGCACCGAGTGGGAGCACAGCTCACCGACTCGCATGCACCCGGAGTGTGTGAATTCTGAAGCACAAATTCCACCACGGGTTGTAGCGCTCAGAGCATGAGGGCTCAGTAGCTTCGCCGATGATATAACCACTGGCAGCGCAAGGCAGTGCATACACACAGCAGGCCCGCAGCAATGTGACACTCACACGCAACTCGTGACTCGGTCCACAACGCCAGGCGCAAAATCCAATGTAAAATCCGTGCAGGAGGAATCTACCAAGGAATGCAATCATCTATGTGTGTATTCTCATATTTTCTATGCCTTTCAATTAACCCCTACTCTTGGCTGTGGACGATATTCAATATCACTTAGGGTTTTATCAGAGCCTGATAAAACTACAAATCTACCAGTCATGGACTGAACCATATGAAAAAATAAATGCAATAAAGCGTCGAAAAATATAGATTTTTGCATAAAACTCACATGCACACGAGGGTGTTACCGGGCAAGGAAAATGAACACCACAGAGTTTGATCGAGAAGCAAAGAGTGCCCATGTGCCTGTAGGCTCTGGTTTTGACGTTATGCCACATCCGGTGATCATATCACACGAAACGCAAAGCGAGAGAGACGAAGGGGAGCCACCTCCACAAACTCTCTCTAGCACGACTCGAGAATCCTCGTGCAGAGTGTTGTTGGTCCTGCAAGGTGAATAGTCCGAGTGGGATGTGATCGGTAGGAGGGAACTTAAGCCATGGACCCGTCCTTGGGCAGAGTACTTGAGAAGCAATCAGTGTGTACATGTTGAAAACATGGCCAACAGCTTTTTGTCTGCCATGCAACCATCAACCCCGTGCATCAGAGATGGGAATTTTTAGTCATCGGGAATTCATCTGGATCAGTTGTGCGCCCAAAGAGCTGTGCAAAACACCACTGCACACTGCAAGGCCATGGTGCACGGGTCAACATTGCATTCCTTCCCTAAAGCATTACCACATCAACCACCAACGGTAGATGTTTTGAAGCGCCAAACGTATTCAAACATGCGCACCTTCTCGCTGGGAAATCACCTGGTGCGCTTTATTTAGAGAGTAAACTCGCAAGAGGCTTTTTGTTGTTGTTACCATTCTGAGCCGGTGAAGCCTCCGCCGAAACATTGCCATCGTAGCTGTGCTTGCGCGACGACCCATCGCGCCACGACTCGCTCCCTCTCGCCCACGACAGCCGCTTTGTGTGGACGCGGCCGGGCTTGCGGACGGTGCCAGGGAAAGGGTCGGATGCCAGCGCAGGGTCAGGAGGAAGAGCAGGAGAGGTCATGATCGGGTCAGGCTCGCCCTGAACGATGGCACCGAAGGCCACCGAGAGCATCTTTTCATGTTACTCGGGACAACACGAAGGACCTGAAAACGAGCAGAATTCATCTTGTTAATTATGCTCTCTGTTAGCGCTTCAGAAATAGCAAGGCAGAGTTGAATAAGCAGGACTAGTTATGCAGCAATGCTGTCCGGAGAATGTTTGTCGAATTATTCAAAATAGAGTTGTGTTATTTGCCGGAAATTATTTTTGTCAAACAATTAGCCGGTTCAATTGCAGTCAAAGTATCTGTGAACTGATGACACGAGACCGAGAGAGCAATGGACAGCAAAACAGAAACAGAGCCACATGAGGGAGTTTCCACAAACAAAAGCAATCACAGTGGTGGAAGGGCTGTGGCAAATGTTGACATTACCTGCCACGTCATTACTCAGCAGGGGACAGCGAGTGACTGGCCACTAACGAGCTGGTGCGGTGTGTAACCCCCAGCAACATCAAAAAGAAATACCCCAGCAAAACCACCTCGCTAATCCATGCAGCATTAGGTGCGCGAGGCAAGTACCCCCCCCCCCGCCCTGGCAGTTTCAATAAACAAATAGTCCACTGGTTCAAACCGACCACGGGCAAAGTTGACGCATCCAAGCATGATTACAGTTGATCTGCCGTGATTAGTTAGTGGTATCTGAACTATACACATCAATTTCATAATCGTTATGTAATGTTATGCAGTGGTAACATTTACACCTCACAGGAATAAGGAGTAAGGAATAAGGACCTGGGTTAGGTTCCCAATTCGGGCACCTTTCTGAGTGGAGTTTATGTTCTCCCCGTGTTCTGCATGGCTTTCTTCCTGTTTCTCCCGGTTTTCCCCGACAACAACAAAAAATTACAATGTCAAGCTCAGTTAAAATTTGTAAAAATATTTAAAGTGTACCCATAACTTACACACATCGCTGTTGTCGCCCCCCCCCCCCTACTGGCAGATTGATGCCAGTCGGGGCACCTGTACCACGAGAAGTTGTGTTAGGTGATGGGAAGCACGCAGTGTCAATGCCAGTTCATCCATTCATTGGATTGTAAAACAAGTCCGAAAACGCCAATGCAATTAAGAAGCAGAGTCTGATAGGCAACATGCCTGGAAGTTAAAAACCACCACAGCAGGTAAAATTTTGACCCTGAATAAGCACCGAGTAGTTTCGGTGTTGTCATTTGTTGTTGTTGCGCATATTCTAAATACATGACCAATAGCAAGAAATCATGACTTACCAAAGCAATCGAGGAAAAGCTAGCCTCACGTGGCAATTCGAAGTTGTGTTTGTCCCCGAAGCAAAATGGATGTCAACACAAAGCCAAGGCAACCTATACGGATGACCTTTACTTATGAGCAGGTAAGACCCCCCAGAGAGCATCTCGGTGCAAAAAAGCAACGATCACCACCACAGCTGGACAAAAACACTTTCCACGGACTATTCCAGGCCATCTGTCCTCCCGCGACGACAGGTCACAAAGATTTACAAGCAGTATCCTGTAGCTACAGTCTCCATGTTATGCAACCTTGCACGAGGTCCTTGTTGCCAAACAATAGCGTTCTGGACACTTCTTATCCATCCGCTTAGACTCGAGATGCCTAATTCATTTATTGTTTGGCTTAGACTCGTCGCCACGACAGTTAAGGAACAGATTTATGATCATTGCACCCGCAAAAGCCTGTACGAGCACCAATTAAGTGTGGTGTTTTTTGCAACAATTTTTATTTTGATATTGGTACCTAAATGTGTCCTGCTTGCGCTATCAGTGTCATGAGCTAACAAACCATTCGCAACTCTCACAGAGCAGTACAACTCCCCAGAGCTACCACTGAGGCCCCTTCAAGCGACCTCTGGTCCACGCATTAGGAGGTGGCACTTTCCCACCCGCTTGGCCATAAAGACCAGGGTTTGTTCCAAGACCGCCAAACTCATATTGGACATTCTTTAAGCTGGAATTTAACCAAATTAAGTTCTTTAAAAAATTGAATGTAATGGGGCTTTTGTACAGTCATTGGTGACTGGGCTAAGACCATTAACATACTGTACTTGTCGTCCATGGCCAGAACCAGAGCCGTTCCTAGGTTATGGCGAATTGGGGCGACTGTCCCGGGGCCCGTGCTTTGGGGGGCCCGTGCTTTGGGGGGCCCGTGCTTTGGGGGGGCCCGTGCTTTGGGCGGCCCATGCTTTGGGGGGCCCGTGCTTTGGGGGGCCCGTGTTTTGGGGGGCCCGTGCTTTGGGGGGCCCGTGCTTTGGGGGGCCCGTGCTTTGGGGGGCCCCGGCGCTTCGACGTCACGGCGTCAGATGTAAATACTTCCGGTTTAGTTTCCCCAGCCAGCCCGGGCCAGAGCAGAATTGGTACTAAGTTAGAAAAACCTTAGTAGCCGATTGATTTAATTCTCTGTAATTGGCCATATTAAAACATTGGAACCACGAAATTGATACCAGTGCAGGTGGTACCAACAGTAAAACATATGGTCTGAAGCTCCTGAACTAATGAGTACCAGATTTAATCACGGGGAGTTGAAAACCCTGTATTTAAACTCAGGGTTTAAGTGGGAATGGTTAAGCACGGACCTGTAGCATACAGAAGAACACCTCAACTTGTCACAGAAGCCACCGAGTGACAATGAACCATAGGGTACACATGATATAAAAACCTACAGACTCAACTCTTTCAAACCGCATTCTCTTTTGGCTTGTGTTTAGAGATGTTAGCTATTGTATTTTCCTACCATGTACATGTTATTTATTCCCCTTATACCTGACACAAAGTCATGAATCTGACACTGTAAACATGCCAGGCAAGTTATATAAACATATTAGTTTAAACTTTTAAGACAATCGTTGCTCATATTATCACATGGTCCAAATACTGTACACGATCAAGTTGAGTTCCAACATGGGTTTTCCAAATGCGCTGCACCACGTCATACAACGTATACACCCTACCTGTGTGCTGATCTTGCCCAACACCAGCTTTGTAAACGCACGCATACCACCACCACAACCACCATTATCATCACCACCACGGACTGCCCACACTGACGACCCACTCTGGCTAACACCATCTCGACTCGGTATCCGAAAACACGAACGAGGAACGGCAAGGATTACTCACGGTGGCGGGGTGTTTTGTTGTTGCTCTCGGGACGTCAGCAGCGAGCTTTCACAGCGGCAGACAAAGCGCCCATGCCGCAGTTGCGAGCGACTTGCCACACACTCGAAGCAGCAACACAGGTGAGCGAGCCGATTGACGGAGGCTAAAGATAGCACGGCGCGTACACACACGTCAACGCGAGTTCGTCCGCCCTGCCCTTTGCACCACTCCCTCCCTGCGTCACGCTTTTCGCCGACAACCAAAGCCCTCGAGGCCCGGATTGAGCAGTGCATTATTATTATTTACCAAAGAGTGCAAATTAAGACGCATGTTCAACGCGTGATCCACGTAGCCCCCGAGGCGAGAGTTACCGAGGCACAGTCGTATTGACTATCCACGTATGTATGTACTGTATGTGGAACTTCTTTCGCACCGTACGTACCCAAACCGTGCTAATCGTCTGCCAGTCACAATCGCCGCTTGGAGTCATGCGCCTAATGCGCGGACCGTGCGAAAAAAAATCGAAACTCATTTTCGGCCACCTCGGCATGGGTGGCGTCTCGAGTTCGGAGAGAGGAATGAAAGCCTGCCCGTCTGCATTTATTTCACCAACACACAAATACTCACACACAAACGTAAATAAACACTCGCGCACAAAAAAAAAACGCGAGAAGAAGCTTCTGCAAGTGTGGTCATCTGTCCACTCAACAGTACATGGCAAGATAAGCTCACAGATGCTTACGAGAGGTGACATTTCCCTATGGAATGCTTTTTCCGGATTATGCAACTAAGCAAACATTTAAGCATGAGTCAATATAATGCAACATCAATTAATTTTTCGATTTAAAGCTTTCGTGACTGCATGGATTCATATTATTGGTTCTTTCGGTAAAGTGACGTTGAAGGGAAATCATAAAATAATAAAAATTTAACAATTAAATTATCGCGACGTTTCGATCGCAACACAAGCAATCATCATCAGGTGTGAAACCCACAGCAAGAAAATTTGAATAAAAACCGCCATTTTTTTCACATTTTCTTACTGTGGTTTTCACACCTGAGAATTTTATTGTTTAAGAAAGAATCAAGAATACATCAATTCATGTTTAAAAACTGCGGTGGCGAGATGTTAACTCCCTCGCCTGGTATGAAGGAGGTAGTGGGTTTGATCCCGACCCTGACGCCTGTGTATTTGGAGTGTGCATATTCTTCCCGTGGTCGCGTGGATTTTTCTCTTGGTCCTCTGGTTGTTTCCCTCCACGTTTACAAACATGCGTTTCGAGTATTTGGCTGCTATAAATTTCCACGTGATTAGCCACTTCGTTGAGATATTATTTGTGGCCAGGTCGCTTTCAAAAAAGAGCTCCATAGCTCAGCGGGATTTACCTGGGACAATGAAAATCATTTTAAATAGTTTATTTAACCAACTCTTCATGGCATCCTTAACTCGCTCTGCAAACACCAGCGGTAGCTTTCATAGTCAGAAATAGCACCCATTGGGGTGGAGATCAATGATTAACAGGCATCTTGTTTCTCCTCCACACAGACGGATTATTTTCCCCCAGATGGCACTTTTCGCCACGATAATTTTCACGCTTTCGAAAGTTGGAGAAATCACCTGGGAGCATTTGTGTGTGGCCCACCTGGCGCGCGGGTGGGGGGTATTGCGAGTGATCATTGTACGAATTAGAGGCATCGTTACATGCGGATTGGTTACCACCCCACCAAAATTCGGTAGGATCTTTGCTATAAGTTCACCATCATTTATTATTTACACCGCACCTTTCATGCATCTCGAGGCTAAATACTTTGCAGCTGGGTGGTGTAAATGCATCGTCACTTGTGCGAGATATTGCCACGTGAAATTAAATGGGCGACAGAGTGGCGCTGCGGAGTACACTTGCACCTCGCAGCACGGAGCTCCTTGGCTTCGATTCCCGACTCGGTTGCCTTTCTGTGTGAATGTTCTCCCTCTGTCCTATATGGGTTTCCTCCGGATCTCCCGTAGCTAAAACAACACACAATATGATTAGTATTGACCAAACATCTCAAAAGTTTACCTCCAAAATATGCTATTTGAATTACACAAACTTGCAACATTGCCCCCTCCTGCAAAAACTTGGCAGGGCGATCCTCAAAAGATAGTATTGAGACTCGGAGGGTTTCCTGGGTAAACAACAAGCACAGTAATACACGTTCAGTCAGAAGCTTTGATTGGGCAGGCCGCTTTGCTCTAACTAGGCCAATCACATGCCAAACCCGTGAACTTTCTGAGGCATCAATCAATGAGTCATCTCGATCGCGCAGCTATTTGCCATGGTTGCTCGTTAAGGCATGAGATAGAATCAACCAACTAGTGACCTTTCTACCCACTTGGGGCTTTACGACTTCTCAACATTTACATCTGCACAGCAACGAGCTACGATAACGATTTAACAATGTACACACAGTGCATTTAAAAAATTAACCCGTAAAAACAAAGTTTTTCACTATAAATCCTTTATATGCGTGGCATCGGTTTTATTTTATTATTCATTTCAGTTTTTCTTGAGTAAGAGTTTCATTTTTATCACATTGGTATTTTAAATTAAATATGAAAAAAAAAATTCATATAAAGTGGAAAATTTTGGAAAAAAATTTTCACGAAAATAAATTGTCACGCACAACGAGTCTGTGTGCAAAATGTCAGCTCGATTGGATCACGGGAAGTGGTTTAAAAAACGACCGAAAGATTTGCACGGTCGTAAGCGCGCAAGCAAGCAAGTGAACTTAATATAAAGGATTTAAAAATAGGCACACGTTTATTGTTGTTTGCTTTCGATTGGTTTACATTACATTCCATGACAGGAGGACCTTGCTGTGTTTTCAGTTTCTTACAAAGAGCAAGACGATAAATTACAGTACGTGTTCAATGGGCCACAACCCAGCCCACATTGGTCTTTGAAACGGGCGGCTAGAGTCCTCGTC